TTGAGCTGCTTCGGAGTGGTTCGTAGAGAGAAGCACAGCTCCTCCTGGCACCCCTACTGCCAGTGCCGGGCTGGATGTTCAAAGGGAGGGTCCCCTCAACACATCATGTAACTGATGCTACGTGGAGTAAGTGGGTCTCACTGATCACACAACAGGCTCAAATAGGAAACCCCAGTCACCCAGGAGTCTTGGAAGTGATCATGGACTGGCCAGAAGGCAAAGATTTTGGAACTAGCCAGAAGGCAAAGATCTTGGAAGGTTGCCAGAGGAGGGGATGGTGCATGCTGAAGAGGCCCCACTGTAAAATAAACTGCCAGAAAATGAGAAGCAATATGCCCTGTTCACTGTTGCATTGTGAGAAAGCATCAGGGGTGGAAGGCTGCTGTACGGAGTCCTACATGACAAGTTGCAGAACCTGCTGAAGGAGAAGGTGAATCGAGTCATTTTGCAGAGGTGAAGGCTATCCAGCTGGCTTTGGATATTGCTGAACGAGAAAAATGGCCAGTACTCTATCTCTATACTGACTCATGGATGGTGGCAAATGCCCTGTGGGGGTGGTTGCGGCAATGGAAGCAGAGCAATTGGCAGCGCAGCGGCAAACCCATCTGGGCTGCCGCACTGTGGCAAGATACTGCTGCCTGGGTAGAGAACCTAGTTGTAGAAGTACGTTACGTAGATGCTCACGTACCCAAGTGTTGGGCCACTGAAGAACATCCAAACAACCAGCAGGTGGATCAGGCTGCTGCTAAGATTGAAGTGGTTCAGGTGGGTCTGGACTGGCAACATAAGGGTGAATTATTTATAGATTGGTGGGCCTGTGACACCTCAGGCCATGAAGGAAGAGATGCAACATATAGATGGGCTCATGGCAGAGGGGTGGACTTGACCATGGACACTATTGCACATGTTATCCATGAATGTGAAACATGCTCTGTAGTCAAGCAAGCCAAGCGGTTAAAGCCTCTCTGGTATGGAGGACAATGGCTGAAATATAAATATGGGGAGGCCTGATAGATTGATTATATCACACTCCCACAAACCTGCCAAGGCAAGCACCATGTGCTTACAATGGTGGCAGCAACCACCAGATGACTGGAAACATATCCCGTGCCCCATGGCACTGCCTGGAACACTATCCTGGACTTTAAAAAGCAAGTCTTATGGTGGCATGGCACCTCAGAATGAACTGAGTCAGACAATGGGACTCATTTCTGAAACAACCTCATAGACACATGGGCCACTGAGTGGGTATATCCCATACCCTATCATGCATCAGCCTCTGGGAAAACTGATCCATACAATGGACAGTTAAAGACTACACTGAGAGCAATGGGTGCTGGGACATTCAGACATTGGGATATATGTTTAGCAAAAGCCACCTGGTTAGTCAACACTAGAGGATTTGCCAATTGGGCTGGCCCTGCCCAGTCAAACTTTTATGTACTGTAGAGGGGGATAAAGTCCCTGTAGTGCACATAAAAAATATGCTGGGGAAGACAGTCTGGGTTATTCCTGCCTCAGGCAGAGGCAAACCCATTTGTAGGGCTGCTTTTGCTCAGGGACCTGAGTGTGCTTGGTGGGTAATGTGGAAGGATGGGGAAGGCTGATGTGTACCTCAAGGGGATTTGATTTTGTGTGAGAATAGCCAATAAACTGAACTGTATGTTGTTAATTGCTGTATAATACTGTATGTCATCACTGTTAACTGCTGTTTATCAATTGCGATTTTTTTAATGCTCTGATAAAGGCGTTATCTTCACATCCGGTAGGATAGTGGAAGTTGTAATCAATAAAGCATGCAATTGGATACATTCTAGTGTGAATTTATGCTCAGTGGGATGGCTTAAATGAGAGCTGATTTTGTGTAGATGACACTATTCTGTCCCTAATGACAGACGACCTGTAATTATGCTAAGGTAACTGGAAAAGGAAGATTGTGTGAGATGTTTTCCATATATGTCGTTAAAGAATTTGAATAACTTGGGATAGGCAGAAGTACCTTTTCTGTCTGTGGAGCTGGAGTCTCATTCTGTTGGTACCTGACCTTAAGGCACCGCAAGGTCTGATGCTATCTTGAGGCCAACATGGTCTTTAAAGCATGACTTTGTGCAGTAGTTGCGTAAGAACATCAGGTTGGGTGTGCTTGTGCTGAACGTGCTTACATCCACAATCCCATCCTCTGCCTGTACTAGACATGCTGTTGTGCTACTTGTAATGCTTCTGATTTGCAGGGTGAACTAAAAAGTCAATTTTGTAATGTATCGTCTTGTGAATTGGAACTGGTCTATCAACGTGAGGACACAAAATTCAACTTTAATTCATCAAGCTGTGAAAGTGTAGTAATTGGAGCTTTGGTGCATGATCGTTCTCAGATCTGGATGCAATAAGATTCTGTGGCTTTGTGAATTGGAGCCACAGTGATACAGCTAAGCAATCTCAAGAGTAATAGAGGAGAGAAGAGAAAGCTTTCATGGTTTTTCATCTGCAGCGTTGGCTCACCGAGTCTGTTGATTATCATAGTGCTGCTGCTCCTCCTCTCTCGCCAACAGCTGCTGGTTTTTGTTTGCTGAGATCTATCAAATGAGTTTGTGCAGCGGTGCTGTTAAGGCTATTAATTAGGGTCTGATAAATAGCCTTCTGCAAACCATTATATCGCCAACCTGGATAAGTTCAGTGTTGGAGGGACACTGCTGAAAATCAGATTAGCCTTAGTTGTGCAAGCCAGAGGGTGATGCAGGTGGCTCAGGGTGGGAGTGAGTGGGGCAGGGGCAGTTCCCTTGGCTGGCACTGTTCCTGGAGAAAACAGCGTATGAACCTGCGGCCTGCATTAAAGCTTTAAATTGCCATCATCTGAGCTGCAATGTGGTAAGCAAATGTTCCTACACTGGTTCCAAAGCATGGTAATTTTCTTACTTCAACCACCACTGTATGCCGTATGTTTTTAAAATGACTTCAGTATTAAACCAGGCCTCAAAGTGCTGCAAGTTAGTTATGTGCATCTGGGGTAAGTGCTGCTGCTGAAAGAGAAGTTCTTACTGTGTCTTTGCTGGTTTAGTTCCACACTTGCACCAATTCTGAAGTCCCTGCAACTACAGTGACCAAATCAAGAAGTTGCTCTGGTTAAAACTTTGCTCTGGTTGTCTGTGTCAGCAAACGGGAAGAGGTAGAAATGAGTTTCAGGAGGAAGGTGCTGGTCCAGTTTATACTCAGTGACTGCACAGCTATAGCATAGTTGTACCCTAAGAGCAGACTCTTGCTTCTGAAAAATTCCTTTCAAGATATTAACACCAGGCTTGAAATAGAGACTTGCTCCATCACCTGAGATGATCAGGTGTCACTTTCCAAATACTGCAGTGTCTGGTGAGGCCAGCAGATATGGGTGTCTTTACTCATTGATCAGCTGCTACAGAGCTTAGTACAACTCTGGTTTCCTTTCCCATGTGATAGTATGAGTGCCATTGGTGAATAACTGTTTTTATTCTGTCTGCTGCCCCTCATCCCTCATTAATTATTTGCTGTTGTCCTTTTTTGATTTATTTAGGATCAACCCATTTCCTAGGTGTTGATGTTGCTTTGATTAGAATATTTCTTAAAATACATTTCTTATTATCTTTGGCTATAAACTGCAATTTCAGTACAGTCCAGAGAAATTTGAGCAACATTCTAGATACATCCCTGTCCTAGCCCCCCCTTTTCAGTGTGGTGTTGTTATTAATATAGACATTTATTGAAAGGTGTTATCTTGGTTTCCTTCTCGTCTTCTAGCTGCTCCCATGCATATCTGGCAGCATCCTTCATAACATATTTGAATACCAGAGAGTTGCAAGATTGTATGCCAATCTTAATCTGTTTAGATTACCTAATTAATTGGTTGTCATTTTCCTAAGCCTAGGAGTACTGGCAAAAATAAATCTATTCTGCAAGGAGTAAGACTTGTCACTTGTGATGCTACAGGTAGGGGATTTATGTCTTGGAGAGTGTTCTTTAACATGTAGCTATTCTACAATTTTTAGGAATACAGATAGCAATTTGCATGTAATGGCTAGGTTTCTATGTTTTGATACATTGACTTTTGAGATCTGATCTTTAACTTAATTCTTTGAACAGGTAGTCTAGTTAAAACCATGATGTTTTTCCCTTAAGTGTTAGGTTGAGTGAGCCCTTGCCTTGTAGCTGTGAAGTTTTTCTGTAATAGTCACAATCATGTATTACAGTAATAGCACTTGAGATGGACATGCACATATATTATACAGCTAGTCAAGCTCTTCAGGAGATGGTATGTAAGTAGCAAGATGCTTTTAGTGTGGATTTCATGCAGAAAGCCTTGCTTTGTTCTGTGTGCTGACATATATGCAATGTTGAGGCTGTGTATACAATGACTTTTTTGTCTGTGGTGTCATGTCCACCTCATGGATGAGTACAGTGTTTACGTCAGCATCTTTAGGCTAACGGCTGTGGAGGCACATAGATTATGCTTGGTTTGTTACAGTAATAGAGGCTTCCAAAGTTGAGTTTATTTTGGTATTTTTCAGTTACTTTTTCAATTCTCATAATCCTGAGAATACATTGTTTAGATGAATAAAACTATTCATTTCTATTTTGTTTTTCCCTGTAGTGAGCCTGGGGAGCCTCACTGTTCTGTTATTTGTGCCTACCTAGTTCTTGGTGAAGGGGAAAGGCAGCTTTTTCATTTTGGTTGGCCTGGATGTAAGCAATGCTCTCTATGTAGCTTCACAAGCTAAAGAACTTTAATGAGATGCTAGATTAAACTGCACTAAATTGGTAACTGCCTTTGGTTATATCAGCACCTTAGCAACCTCATATGTGGAGACTGACAGTATTTATCAGTAATGGCTAAACCGACCTGGAAATACTTTGAGCTGGGAGAGTGGGATGCAGAGCTTATAGCTGACCGGAGCGCCAGGGAGTACTCTGAAATGCCTGTCATTTCTTGAATGAATGTCTCACAACTGCCTCTCTCTAAATTTCTACTACAGATAAACCATATTGTGCACAATGGAGGATTATATAAAAGGCCTTTCAATGAAGCTTTTGAAGAAACACCGATGCTGGTTGCTGTGCTGACCTACGTAGGCTATGGTGTTCTCACTCTCTTTGGATATCTGCGAGATTTCATGCGGCAGTGGAAGATCGAGAAGTGTCAAAATGCAACAGAAAGAGAAGAACAAAAGGTAACCACTGGGAGATAATGGTCAGTGGGAAATGATGTGGCTGAGGCTATAGCCTGAGCATTTCTTTAGGGAGCAGCGTTGTTCAAAGTTTTCTGCTGTTTTCCTTGTTTTCCAAATGCCCCAAATATTATGCTGGTTGTGCAGTGTCGTTAAACAAAATAATGTTTCTTGTAGTTGTGTTATTTTTTGGCAGAGCAGTTCCCTCGTGTGGTTCACTGGGAAGCTGCATCAACATGCTGAGAGATGCCCCAGCTGCAGAAACGAGGGCTTGGGGGAGAGACTGCATATGCCAGCATCAGCAGCTAATGAAACACTTAGCTAAGGACCTGGTTTAGTTTGACAGCAGTGGGAGGCTTTCTGATGCTGCTTTGGTGGCTGTATTTTGATTTGGAAGCATGCTATTAATTCTCTTTAGCTTAATCAGTTACAAAGAAAAGCTTGTAAATGAGAACCAGAGCACAAGCTGGATGAAAAAAAAATGTTCCTATGAATATGTGAGCAAAAAGAGGAGGACTAAGGAGAATCTCCATCCTTTGTTGGATGCGGGGGGGAGACATAGTGACAAAGTATGAGGAAAGGCTGAGGTAATGAATGCCTTCTTTGCCTCAGTCTTTAATGGTAAGACCAGTTGTTCTCAGGGTATCCAGCCCCCTGAGCAGGAAGACAGGGATGGGGGGTAGAATGAAGCCCCCATAATCCAAGGGGAAATGGTTAATGACCTGCTACACCACTTAAGACACAGACAAGCCTATGCAGCCAGATGGGATCCACCCAAGGGTACTGAGGGAGCTGGTGGAAGTGCTCACCAAGCCACTTTCAAGCCTTTATCAGCAGTCCTGGCTAACCGGAGAGGTCCCAGTTGACTGGAGGTTAGCAAGTGTGATGCCCATCTACAAGAAGAGCCAGAAGGAGGATCTACAGAGCCTCAGCATCCTCTCCTCCAGGCTGAACAACCTGAAATGAAGTTGTAGTGAGGTTGTTGGTGGTGTCTTCTGCCAAGTAACAAGTGATAGGACAAAAGGAAACGGCCTCAAGTTGGGCCAGGGGAGATTTAGATTAGGTATTAGGAAAAATTTCTTCCCCGAAAGGGTTATCAAGGATTGGAACAGGCTGCCCAGGGAAGTGGTTGAGTCCCTACCCCTCTGGCGATATTTAAAAGCCATGTAGATGTGGTGCTTAGGGACATGGTTTAGTGGTGGACTTGGCAGTGTTAGGGGAACGGTTGGACTTGATGATCTTAAAGGTCTTTTCCAACCTAAATAATTCTATGATTCCATGACTTTAAATTCGTCTTGAGTCCGGAACACTGGTAGATTAGCTGGTGAGTAATCTGAGGTACTTACTCCTGATTCACTGATAACAATTAAAAAGAATTAATTTATAATAAGATGTATTCACAAAAGCTTCTGTTTCCAGGTAAAAGGTCTTGCCTGCTTCTGCAGTTAGTCTGGATTAGATAATCCTATTTTTGAGTAGTTAAAAAATATTTTGAGAGGCCTTTATTCCCCACAGGAATTAGTTACTGTTAAGAAGGCTACTGTTTAAACTTGCAGTTCCCAAGCTATTTCCTGCTAACTCTTAGTGCAAGCCCTCTTAGCACGGTGTGAATACCAGTGAGCTTTGCTCCAAAGGTACAGTGAATTGGCTTACTCTTGCTGATTAGGGTTCTGCTTTTCTCAACTGCTTTGGGGAGCCCATCTGGCTCATAAAATGTTAAGGAAGTTTGTTTTCCATTTGCTGGTTTCTGGTTCTCTGTGCAGCCACACAGGCAGTTGGCTAGCAGAAAACAGAGGGAACGGGAAGGACATTTCACTAATGCAATCAAACAATCAAGGGTGGGAGGAGGGAAGAAGAAAAAGGAAGGCATGCCATTTTATGGTAGATTAACCAAGACGTGGTAAACTAACAATGCCTAAAATTACTTCACAGTAGCTTCTGTGTGTGAGCATCATGAGGTAGAGTTAAGCTGATTCATGGTAGGGCACTTAATTCCAAAATAGAAACATTCTCATAGGAGTTTAAGTAATAGGTATTTCATAGTGGTTAAAAGTTTAAATTTACACTATTTCCAGAACTGAATTCTGGAATCTGGATGTAAAAATCTTGGATCCCTTTTAACAGTTACAATATCCAAATAAGGATTGCTGGCTAAATCTCAGCTTGAAACTTGATGTGTTCATTAACATCATCTGAGCTACTCTGGTTTATGTCATCTGAGAACATGACACCCTTGTATTTTTCTGTGTATAAACTAGAAGTTGGTACAGAATTGAACAGTCAGTTACAGAAATCTACAAGACGTTGGAATAAAGGTTTAAATACTGGTCTGTACTCGGTACTTGAGGATTATAAAGGGGTAGCTGAAGTGGTGATACAGTTACTCTATACTGTAGTTATATTTCTGTTACACAGCTTTTATGAAATGCTTATTCTGTTACTAGCACATAAGGTGCGAGACTACTCACAGGAGTCCTTTTCTGTGGGAGCAGTCGTGAGTCTTACATGAGAGTGTACAAAAGGAAGACCTTGGGCAGTAGGTCTAATTTGGTAATACTTTATTGATATTAGGCTCTCTGTAAAGATTGTCACAGAGGATGTTGAAGCACAGAGTTTCTCAGCAACTGGTTATCCTAGGTCTAAATGAAATTTAGCCTTGACATTTTTTATACATTAACTTAGCATTGCATCATACCCTGAAAGACTTTTGCTTAATATATATACTTCCTGGACAGATGAATTGAAAACCTTTGAGTTTGTGTGGTGGTCATGGCTTGCAGAGAAGAGACGCATGTATTCTGGTTTTGTTTTGTACATAGGATGTCTGCGGATGGAGCTGGTAAGAAGTGCCAGTGAATATTGCGTCAGAATGAAAAAATAGGAAATCCTGTTTAATAAAGTTCTAGTGTTGAAGAAATCTCAGCCTAGTGTACTTCCCAAATCACACTTCCAATGCTTAGGTTGCAGTAGCTGTTTCTGATAACAGACAAACAGAAAAGTTGATCATGTGAGGTCTAGAACATACTGTACTTATCCTCACACTTTGCTGCTTTAAGCTTTGTTTGCCTGCAAATGAACTGATGAGAGCATGTTGCAGTGTATCTAGTGTGGGAGACAGGTTTTATTTTGGTGTGGGGCGGGGGTGCTCAATGGCTTGTTTTGAAAGTGTTTCTCTTGATTTTCAAATATTTGAATGTCTCAAGCTGCTGGCTGACAGCCCAATCATCTTTTGGTGAGGGAATGCAGACACTAGTGCGCAGAAAAGGCTCGAAACTCGTGCTTTCTTTTTTCTTAAGTATCAAGCCAAAAGGCTTAGCTTTAGCTTTTTGAAATAGTTTATAATTGCTTAGGTGAAAAGCTCAAAGCAAAGGCAGTGGGAGTAGCTGTGTAGCTGAACCGTGTGTGACGACCTGCTTTGTGAGCAAAACAAAATTACGCAGTGCAAGGAAGGATTTCGTAAAAGGTGGAATGAACTTGTCCTGAAAGGTGTGGAATTGAAGTGTGTGGGTTTTCTGGCATGTGTTTCTGAAGGTGATCACAGTTAAAAGCATAATGTAAACTTAGGTCCAAAATGTAGTATTAAAAACAAACACCAAAAAAAAGCCACTTTCAGTTTTTGTTTGTTTTGGAGGGCAATTTATTTCAGTAGAGCAAATCCTTCCTTAAATTGTCAGTTAGTATTGTAATCTTAGTCTGTGCATCAGAACTAGAAACCGAAAGTAACCAGATTTATTTCAAGAGCAGGCTTTCCAACAGGTCTATATTGGGACTGTCTCTGATGGTGGGTGAATTCCTTGCATTGAAATTAATGATTCCAGGAAAACCTAGTATTCACTCATCACTGGAACACAAAAGGGTGAAAAGGGCCAGGCTTTGCTAGTGCTGATTTCCAGGAAATAGTTTGATGGGGTTTGGCTTTGTTTAAAATATATTCAGCTGGGCTTTTCCTGGAAACCCCGTGTTGTGTAGCACATCCTCTCTGAAGCATTATCAGTCTTAGGCGTGGGTAGGTGGCAAGATAAGCAATACTCAGTTACCCTGGAATCAACTTATGCATACCTGATTTAATGTAATGTCTGGTCATACAATGTAGTTAAATCTGCAAAATGCATGTAGGATTTTATAGGTGGGATGAAAATCACTTTTACCTTTCTCCTGGTCTGATTTGCCTGCTGATTATCTTGTATGTTTTGTATGTGGGATCAACTGTGTAAATGGGGCCAGCAACTCTCTAACATACCTATTCATGCTCAGTAGCTTGCCCAGTTAGAACATGTTTCTGGCATCTGGGGTTTTCAAACACTTGTTTACAGGAATTCAGCTGTAGGAGTATCTCAGGGGCAGTGAAACGGAGTCTTTTGCTCAATGTTGTCTTAGCATCTGTATACCTCATCACAGGCCTCCTGATGCTATAAAGGCTACTCACAGCTATTGCTCCACTTTTTCTTGACTCGTGTGAGATGGAACTAGTCTTTCTGCTTCCTTTTAGAAGCCTGAAATTTATTGCAATTGTCTACTTGATTTTCCATTCAGAGTCAGTTTTGCATTATCAGGGAACATGTTATAATATGTGAATTGCAGATAAGCCCAGCTGGTGCTCATGGCACCATTTGTAAGCCTAGGTGCAATGCTGTGAAAACTTGGCTCTAAAAGCAGCGTAATCACTGCATTTGCATGTCACTGCGCCCCAAGCTAATGGTTACAAAGTTCTCATTATGACCTTAACTTGTTGTAGTATTAATTTACAGTATGATGAAATCTTGGATTCCCAAATCACCTATGCTAAGGTGCTGCACCTCAAGGGAGAATTTTATTCTTCCCTTGTTTCACTCTTTCTGGAAATTGCTATGCCTTTCAGGCTTCTGGGAGACCACTAGTACTTAGGTTTCTTCATCAGGCTTCACCTTACTAATAGGGGATGTGTTCTAGGCCTAAATTGACAGGAATGGAGCTGTTTAGGATTTCTAGCTCCATGTTCATATGAATTAAAATGAAAGAACATGCTGCTTTTGCTCCCTCCTTTGGAAACAGTATAACCTTTGCAGTTGTTTGACTGTGCTTACTGTGAAGATTGCTCAAAGAATCAACTCACTCATCAAATATTTTTTCTCCAAATGAAGCTATTCCATCTCAGGCTGATATTCTTAGGTCTGTTATGGCTAAAAAATAAGTTCTGAAGGCCATTTAAAGGTGACAGTGATTGCTTCCAGCAGTAGGATGCTGTTGCAGCACAGCACTGTGGCTGCACATGCCAAAAATTTGAAATAGTATGGATTGATAGATTTCATCACCCCTCCCTCCCCAAATGTTTTTTCTTGCTTTGAAGATTGAAAATGTTTAATTTCCATGAGGGATTCAGGTGGTCTTTTTGGTGTACTGTCCTCTCTACTCTCCATCTGAAATGCCACACTGTAGAAAGGTGGTGGAGGTGGTGAAACAGACAGACAAAAAAAAAATAAAAAATCCCCAAACCAACCAGGCAAACCATCTGGTCTGTTGCCAGCTTCAAAAGAGAGCTCTCAAACTCCAAAAGTCAGTACCAGTTTATAAAGGCACGATATCCCTACCATTTCTCTTTTTTTGTGTTCTCAGATGCATGGGTCATGAGAACCTCTTGGTGGGGTTAGGATTATGGAGGAAATAGACAATCCAGTTTTGATTTATGCCAAAGTAACGCTTATTACCTGTTGTGTTGTAAGGAAATTTCTGATAAGAGCTAGTTGAGGCTGGTTTATTGTGGGGGGGTGGCATTAAGCTGATGCCTCACTTATAGCCCTTTGCTATAATCTTACAGCTTGGTACCCCCAAAAACTGTGGCTAGTGTCACAAATTAGACCTTAATTCCCTTACCCATAACTTGTTCCTTGAATTCTTGTTGACTTTTAAGATGCCTGTTTTCCTTATCATAATCCATTAGGCTCAGAGAACTTCTCTACTTCACAGTTAAATCACTTTAAACTTAGTTATGCTGTTGCCTTGTAAGATCATACTTACATTATATATTTTGGTGGTGTCAACCTGTTGTGCATGATTGTCTATCTCGCCAGTTGAGCTTGTTACTCTTCCTGCTTTATCAGCTTGGATTTCAAAATAAAACATGGTCTATCTTATCTGATCAGTAATCTGAGGTGAGATTGGACTGTATCAGCCCAGGCATACCTGCTTGAGTTGGTAAAATGACTCATTTCCAGCCTCCGCTTCTAGCCAAGAACCTTGGCTAAAATCTCAGTTGTTTCCTGGGTCACATAGTGTGCTTGAGTAACTACTGCAAAGCTGAATTCTCATTAAAAGATGGTTAAGAGGAGCTGAAAATGCTTAAAAGGATCTACTGAGATTATAATTGGACATAAGAAGTACTGATCTTCTAATCTACCAGAGTTATTTTGATCTCACTTCCTCACCCCTCTACAAATGATGTACCAGAGGGTTTCAGACACTTGTAGCTAATTATTTTGATTTTTGTGTCATGAATCAGGTGGTTCTTAGTATATTGCTACAAGTACTCTTGAGTACATCACCACTCTGTAATAGAGTACAGTACATGTAGCTTTTCACATATGAAGGAAGTTCTTGAATGCATTTGTCAATACCAAGATGTTTTTCTCCATTGTAAAAGTGGCCAGTTTGTTAGTGATTCAGCCTAGAAAGCCACTTTCTGCCTCGAACAACATGAGATGCTGAAGTCGAGGAAGGATAGAGCTGTGTAGCTACTTCGGAAAACTAATGATTTTCTAGGGGATTACAGCTTTGTATTAGCTGACCTACTATCTCCATTAACGTCTCTTGACAAAGAGCCTTCAGGCAAAACCTGGTGCATGTGAAATAACGCAAAACTGTACTTAAGCAGAGGAACATGGAAGAAATAATTGCCCTTCTGTGCATCTTAGCTCATAGAAATCTTGCTCCCACTGTCTGTCTTTGCTGGGAAAGGACATACTTGTGATTTCCCTGGAGGAGTCATCACTGGCTGAATTTGGTTTCATTTTGCATGGTTGAAATGACGAAAATTAATATATTTGTGCCTTTTTGGCATGTCATTGTGTACAGGCAAATCAGAAGGGGGCTTAGGTGCAACTATATCTGCTTAAAGTTGGCACTTTTGGGCTCTGTCTTTCCTGTGCAGCTGCTGGTAGGAGAATGCAAAGGGTTGGACCTAGATGGTTGCTTTACTCCAAGCAGAAAGGACAAAGTTGTTAAATCATTAAAATAAGAATGTAAAGAAAAAAGTACTCTTCCTGCAGTCGAGCACTGTAAGTAAAACTTGTCAGTGCCCATTTATTTGAGTTGTTGTTAAAAAGCTGGCATAAATGCTCACAGTTTTGCTTCGGTGGTACAAATGTCAGGCACCGTAATATTTGGTCAGACAAATATTCTGTCTTATCCTGTCACCAAAAATAAAATGCCCCTCACCATGCTTGCATTTCTTTTGTGAAAAACAGGAAGAAATGCTGTGCTGGCTCTTAGCTTTGTCGTAAATTCTACTTTTTCCTTTTGTAGATTATTAAAAAGGCTTTTTTTTTTTTTCCCCAACAGTAGTGAATAAAGTATGCATTCTTATCACTACTGAATGTCCAACTTCCTTCTAATTCAATAGTAATAAGGAAATCTCATGACTTCGGAGCATTTTAAGTAGGCCAGAAAAAAAAGTGTTCTTGAGTGCTCAGATGTCCTTGCTGTCACAGTTAGTTTGACATTCTTGTGTGTTATCCATTCAAGACAGTCGCTTACTTTTCCTGAAAAACATTGTAAGGGAAGCTAGAATTCAGGAAATGCTCATGCAAAGACATCCCATGGCACTTCAGTGCTGGTAAGCTGTGCAGAAGAGAGGTGCCATAATGTAGCTTACTAGCTTGGATTCAGAACAAAAAATTCTGGACAGCTCTAACAGTAACCTCTATAATAATGCTAATGTTGCTATACTAAATGCATTTCTTATGTACAGCATAAAATATGTCAGAGAACCTCAGTTTTCAAATTGTTTGTATATTCAACTAGAGCAATGCATCCTGTTTGGTTCCAAAAGGCAATTCCACATTCACTTGCTCTGCTTATCTCTGAAGGTTCAGTACAAATCTCTTGCAAAGATTACGTGCCCGTGCATTTCACGAAGGGGGTTATTTGTATGTTTTGAGAGAGGTGCTCTCCTCTACTACCTGGAAAGAGCTGGAAGGACAGTCAAGATATTTCAAGTCCCATTTGAGTTCAGAGAACAAGACCTCATTGTGTCATTAGGAGCTCCCAATTCAGTTTCTGTGTGCTTTTGGCACTCCCTCTCCTATACGTTAGAACTCTTTGAGGCTTTCTAACTTAATCACGGCATTAGGTCATGCTTTGGGGGTTTTTTCCTAGATTTTATGAGCTACTTAAGCTATATACAAATAAGCACCTATGGTTGAGGAAATCTTGGGGGTGTGATAGATTTACAGGTTGAAAAAGTTTGGACATCACATCTAGCAGATGGATTTTGCACTAGCAAATGCATCTCTTCAGGTTTGCTGCTGTCTCACTTTCAAATAATTTTGCACTGGCACAGATTACCAGGATTAAAAATACTTTGGGTGGAATTGGTTTCAGGGCTTGTGTTGAAGAACTCTGTAAATTTTTCTTGAGTTTTCTTGATTTTTTTTTTTTTTTCTCCCACTTATAAATTACACACAAATGACAGGAACAACTTATTCCTAGTTTGATGTAATATGTTTTTTCCTTTTACTTTGAGTGCTTTTGATGTGTTTCAGGACTTTGTCCCATTGTATCAGGACTTTGAAAATTTCTACAACAGAAACCTCTACATGCGCATTCGAGACAGCTGGAACCGTCCAATCTGCAGTGTGCCAGGGGCCAAAGTGGACATGATGGAGAGAGTTTCCCATGACTATAACTGGACATTCACGTGAGTCAAACTGAAGAAAAGGCTTCCAACAGCTATCTTTAAGTAGAGGCTATATAAGAGCAAGTGGCAGGCTGTGAGGTTACAGGAGCAGTGAATCGTGTTTGTTCTGAGCTTTGCAGCGCTTGAATCAATGAACTTCGCTCTTTTGAAACACATCTGGCTACCAAGGTGACTATTTGTGTATAATCTTTTGACTACTTACTAAGGCTCCTGACTGTGTTAAGACAGGGATGGGGAGTAGAACAAAGCCCCCCATAATCCAGTGGGAAATGGTTAATGACCTGCTACACCACTTAGACACACACACAAGTCTATGGGGCCAGATGGGATCCACCCAAGGGTACTGAGGGAGCTGGTGGAAGTGCTCACCATTCCCCTTTCCATCATCTATCAGCGGTCCTGCCTAATTGGAGAGGTCCCATTTGACTGGAGGTTAGCAAATGTGATGCCCATCTACAAGAAGGCTCAGAGGGAGGATCTGGGGAGCTACAAGCCTGTCAGTCTGCCTTTGGTGCTGGGGAAAGTTATAGAGCAGATCATTCCGAGTGCCATCATGTGGCACATTCAGGCCCAGTCAACACGAGTTTATGAAAGGCAGGTCCTGCTTGACTAACCCAATCTCCTTGTATGACAAGGTGACCCTCTGAGTGCATGAAGGAAAGGCTGTGGATGTTGTCTACCTGGACTTTAGTAAAGCCTTTGACACAGTTTCCCACGGCATTCTCCTGGAGAAAATGGGTGCTCATGGCTTGGGTGGGTATGCTCTTCACTGGGGTAAAACAAAAAAAAAAAATCATCTGGCTGGCCAGGCCCAAAGAGTTGTGTTGAATGGAGTTAAATCCAGTTGGAGGCCAGTCACAAGTGGTGTTCCCCAGGGCTCAGTACTGGGGCCAGTTCTGTTGGATAACTTTTTATCCGTGATCTGGATGAGGGGATTGAGTGCAGTAAGTCTGTAGACAACACCAAGTTGGGTTGGAGTGTTGAAGGCTCTGCAGAGTGTTCTGAATGGCCTGGATTGGTGGTCCAAGGCCAATTGTTTGAGGTTCAACAAGGCTAAGTGTTGGGTCCTGCCCTTGAGTCACAGCAACCCTGTGCAACACTACAGACTTGCAGAAGAGTGGCTGGAAAGCTGCCTGACAGAAAAGGACCTGGGGGTGTTGATTGACAGCTGGCTAAATGTGAGCCGGCAGTGTGCCCAGGTAGCCAAGAAGGCCAACAGCATCCTGGCTTGTGTCAGAAATGGTGTGGCCAGCAGGAGCAGGGAAGTGATCGTGCCCCTGTACTCGGTGCTGGTGAGGCCGCATCTTGAATGCTGTGTTCAGTTTTGGGCCCCTCACTACAAGAAGGACAATGAGGTGCTGGAGCGTGTCCAGAGAAGGGCAACAAAGCTGGTTCTCTACAACTACCTCAAAGGCGATTGTAGTGAGGTGGGTGTCAGTCTCTTCTCCCAAGTAACAAGTGATGGGATGAGAGGAAAAAGGCCTTAAGTTGTGCCAGGGGAGGTTTAGATTGGGTATTAGGAAAAATTTTTTCCCAGAAAGGGTTGTTCAGCATTGGAACAGGCTACACAGGGAAGCGGTTGAGTCCCCACCCCTGGAGGTATTTAAAAGACCTGTAGATGTGACGCTTAGGGACATGGTTTAGTGGTGGAATGGCAGTGTTAGATTGATAGTTGGACGTGATGATCTTAAAGGTCTTTTCCAACCTAAATGATTCTGTGATTCTATGATTTCATGGGCATATGCTTATAATAAAATTATTACTTTTATTTGTGATGACCAGAACCTGGAGTAGATACTTAGGATTGCACTGCTACTTGTGAATTTGTGTTGGTTTAGAATCAGTCCTGATACTTGAAGTAAATGTTGTTGCCTGAAACTGAATTTAACACAGTTGTTTTGGGTCAGAACTGCAGTAGTCTGTAGAAACAAAATCAGAAGTGTAAGGACAAGAATTTTTACAAATTGGAAACAACATACCACAAGTTTGATGTGAAGAGTTTTGAAGCACAGTATTTCGTGAATCTAGTCATGTCTCTCCTTGGCTTTCAAGGGCAAAATAATTAAAACTTTTTTCTGTTAAACTTCTTCCTTAATCTCCTTGTCACGTATTGTTAGCACAGCATTGCCAGATGTGTTTCCTTTCTGTGGTTAGAGGATATCCTGCTTGAGGGTCTGCCAAGTTAATCGATCTGGAGTTCTCACTTTGTAATTAAAAAGCAAGCTATATGTTTCTGGGATGGAAGGGGAACACGTCAGAGAAACAACAAATGGCTTGAGAAGCCTTAAGCAGTTTTAGATATGATAGCAAATTCACCTTTTAATATAAACTCTTCTGAAAACAAGTT